CTCTCTCACCCCAGGGGACCCAGACACCCGGGCAGTCCTCTGAGCAATGCTGCTGTCCTGTGCCGCGTGTCGCCCATCCAGAGGCCGCAACTGGCATCCAGAGGCCGCACTGGCAGCAACCAGTATATTTGCATGGGAAAATTTTCACATAACGTCGCTTTGTCCAGCCATCAGGCCGCGACCGTCCTCCCCTAGGCCATACAGGATGCCGCGGTGCTGCCCCACGCCGTCCATTCCTTGAAACCGCTGCTGTGCCAGCTTGAGAAAGGTGGCGCTCGTGAGCAGCGAGTCCGAGCCCGCCTGCAATCCAGAACAGGAAAGCAAGGTGGTAAGGCTGGTACTCTCAGCAGAATGCCAACTTCAGAGAGAGAAAACGGGGCGAGAACAACACCTGATGCTGCGGCCCGATGCGCGCCACGTCCAGTGTCTCTGCCAGCTTGTTAAGGCCGCCGTGCAGGTTGTCGCAGAACTTCATGAGGTACTTGATGTCAAAGATTTGCGGGAAGAACAGCTGCAGGAAAGAGCGGGTTGTTGCTGCTGGATTCTGCCACTTCCAATCGACACTGAACAAATCGCGCTGAGGAGAAGCAGCCGACCCTTGCCACTGCTCACGCCGGTTTTAGGCAAGCCCACCTTGAGTAGCTGGAAGAACTCGCCCTCGTTGGTGGGGAGGGAGGAGCAGGTGAGCAGTTTGAGCAAGTACCCAAAATCGTACCCACTGTGGAAGGTGATCCATCGTACCTGCATACAGTTAACGGGAGCAGCAAGTGCAGTGAGGCGCGGGACTCCAAAGCCTGAGCGCTTGCACACTGCTACGGCTGAGGATCCTCCTTACATCCTCGTTCAGCACGACGCCCGACACCGTCAGCAGCTCGCCAAAGTGCCGCACGTCGATGCCGCGAGTCTCATTCTGCGCAAAGTCGATACCCGACTGCTTCAGCAGCTCAATAGAGTCCTGGGCGTACATGTCATCCGACAACCGGAACTCCCTGTGGGAGATCAGGAAGAGAGCGTGACACAAAAAAAAGTGCCAGAGGGAAATGTCCTGTGGCATTAGGAACCTGTGGTGTCAATCCTCACTTAAAGTTGAACTGCCACACACACAGCTCGCCGTTGATGCGCGGCAGGTTGCCCTCGGCGTCCGTGAAGGTCAAGCCCAGCTGTATCAGCTTCAGCATGTCCACGTTTAGCCTGCAGCAACGAGCGGTGGAAGTGAGCAAGACCGGCGTCTCACAGAACACGCTGCCTCCTCGCGGCAGCCCTGACGCTTGCCTGAGCGTCTGGTAGTGGTACTCTCCGCTGTTTTTGAAGCTGCCCACCGGGCGTGCCACCACCCCCGGGAACTCTGTGTCCATGGCCAGGAAGGGGTAGTCGTCCACCACGTCGCGAATGAGCTGCAAGTTTTTGGTGGAGCGGGGGGCGGCGGCGGTGAACCGGTGGCGTGAACGAGCGCACGCCTTCGCAACCCCCTCCTCACCTTCATCTCCTGCTCCAGGTTGTCCTGCCACACCTCCCGCACCCGCAACGTGTCGCCGCCGGGCGTCTGGCCCGTCAGCGAGCCGTCGGCCGCCGCCACCATTCGGCCCGACTTCCACGCGGCTTACAACCTGCATATTGCGGAGGCGCACGAGGCATCTTGAGCGAAACCTGCTGTACAACATTGGCGCAGCATTGTACATCAATCGCCGAAATGGCTGACCCAGGGCGATGCGTTATACATTCCACACAGCCAGAAGTCCCCGCAAACTCCCGGACCTTCGTGCAGCTGGTTGGACAGCTGGCATGGTGGGTCCTGGCTGCCAGTGGCAGCCTGCCACGCCTCTGTCATCATGTCAGCATGCAATCCCTCCCTGTCCTAGCTAGGAAGAAACCGTTACTCTGCACCGCAGGTTGGGTTCTCACAGGCGGCCGGCACGTATGGCACCGGCGCTGGGGGCTCCTGCTGCCTCCGCCTTCCTGCCGCCGCTCCTACCCCACGGCTGCCCTCGCGGTGTGCAGCTTGAGCTCCCATTCCAGGCCTGGCCGAGCTGATGGATGTGGGATTTAGTTTTGGCAACATCGTTGAAAAGGAGCCGACTATCTCCATGCAGTGAGCCTGCCAGCACTTGCTGACACTCCGACCGTGGTTTCTGCCATTTCAAGACTGCTCCTGAATGCTGCAGGAAGAGGTGAGCCTTGGGGGGCGAGGAGCACTGCTGATGCCAGGTGTCTGCAGGACCCGCCGCTCCATACCTTGGGAGACACCAGCGCCTCCCTCCTCCCTCCCCGCCCCCGCCCGCATCCCTGGCGCAGTTGGCGTGCTGACGGACGAGGCGCCTCTGAAGATGCGGGCAGAGGCGGAGCGGCTGAAGGCGGCAGGCGTGGACCCGCAGAAGGCGGTCGCCATCGTCAAGGGGCAGGCTGGCGGTGAGCTGGGGGGCGGCTGCAGTGCATGCGTGCGCCCGGCGGCGCCCCGGCCTGCCCTCCTGCCGCGTGCGCCTGAGTGGCGGCTGCACTGGCACAACCTGGCCGCCTTCGTGCCGCAGCCTGACACCAGCGCCTCGAGCCCCTGCTGCTGCTGCTGGCGCGCCCCAGCCCCCCTGCCGCTGCTGCTGGCGCCCCCCTATGTGCAGGCAAGGCCAGGATGGCGCTGGACGGCCACACGCAGGAGGGGACGAGCATCGCCGCCCAGAAGATGGGTGAGCCTGCGCCGCCCGCTGCCTGCCCCGCCCCTCCCCGCCCTCGCCGTGGCGCCCGCTGCCTGCTTGCCCCGCACCGCTGTTGGGCGCCGGCGGCGCCCCGGGCCGCCCCTGCAATGTGCTCCCCTGCAACGTGGCCTGCCTCCCCGCCTGCCGCGTGCGCCTGTGTGGCGGCTGGCCACCTCCCCGCCGCAGCCCGACCACGCCCCTCCCCCCAGCCTCCCTCCCCTCCCCGCTCGCATCCCTGGCTCAGCCTGCGTGCTGATGGACAAGAGGATGCAGGCGGAGGCGGAGGAGCTGGAGGCGGCAGGCATGTCCCGCCAGAAAGCGACCGCTACTGTCAGGGGGAGGGCTGACGGTGAGTGGGGAGGGCGAGGCAGCCGGGTTGCGGTGCAGGGCGTGCGCTTGGAGGTGCTCTTATGCGCCGGCGGCGCCCAGGGCCTCCCGCTCCCCCGCAGCAGCCGCGCAAGCCTCCTCCCACCCGCCCGCCACTTGCCCCCTGCATGCAGCTGCAGGGCAGGTCAAGAAGGCCCTGGAGGAGCGCCCCTTCCGGTTTGAAGTTTGGGAGCGGAAGAGGGCGGCGAGGCCTGGGAGCTGGGCGGGGAGCAGCCCCTGGGATTCATCGCGTTGATGAAGAACCAGCCGGGGTCCATCCAGCCCCCCCCCCGGGCCTGCAACCGCTGCGAGATCGGCAAGCGTCAGGTCACCTGCGGCTACACCCACATCGATGGCGGTCCAGCGAACCGCTAAAAGCTCACGGGGCGCCACGAGCAGGCCTTCAGCAAGCTGGTGCTGAAGAAGGTGGTCAACGAGGTGGTGGCGGCAGCCGGCGGCGGCGCCATCTAGCAGCTCGGCACGCTGCAGCAGCTCGGGCCGTCCAGCAGCAGGAGTAGGGAGAGGGAGACCGCCGGCCAGCCGTAGGCAATAGCAGGAGCCTGAACCGCCCACGCAGCTGCCTGAACCACCCTGCCCGTTCGTGTAACCTCACACATTACAAGGGCACATGCACACACACACACACACACAAGCACACACACGCGCTTGCCTTGGGTCAAGCACATTGAGCGCGTTGCAGCTGCCGAGGACCATGTGCAGGCTGCTCCTGTCAGCAACCCGCATTGCCCGTGGCGGGGCTGACCACCTTCTTCACCTGACCGACTTTCTTGCGCTCCATTCGTACGACAATGCATGCGCCGACATTATGCTGGTTTGCTGATGCCCGATTTTGCAGCTACGCGTGCGCAAGCGGGTATTTCTCTGCAACTGCCACACTCGCTAGAGAATTCTTGCAGACAACATGAAACTAGCCTCAGGCAAAGCCAGAGGGGATGAGGAGTAGAGCATTCCTGGTGCCACTCCTCTTGGTGCTGCATCCTCCAACTCGGGCACACGTTCACGCACAGTATGACCAGCTGGAGCCGCCTCAACAAACAGCACATCAGACCAGGCGCCAAAAGAGTCGGCAACAGCAGGCTCCCGCCATCCACTGCCAGCAGCGGTGCCAGCTGCCCTCACTGCCGTCTGCGACCAGCGGCCATCCAATCCGTCTGCCACGGGCCGTGCTCCGCAATCAGCAGAGCCAACATTGCTGGCAGAGGCAGTCTCCCTCCCTGAATCTGTTGCTGCTGGTGCTGCACCTGCTGGCAGCGGCCAGTCAGCTGCACCTGCTGCTTGCTGCCTCACAGCAATTGAGGCTGGTGCACTTGAGAAGTCTGCAAAGTCAACGCTGGCACCCCATGCTGCACTGTGTCCCGCTGCTGCTGCCACGCTACGTTGTTCGGCCGCATCCACCTGAATATATCCAGCATCAGGGGAAGCGCCGGGCATGGTGGAGGAGCAGACAGCCAAGCTTCCCGTCTGTCGCACAATGGGAAGCTCAATCTCATCTCTGCTGGGTGCTGCTGCTGCCGCAGCCTCAAGGCATGGTTTATCTGCAGGCTGCCAGGTTAGCGCCTGGCTGCTCCACAGCCGGCGGCTTATTGAGGCCTGCACATGCATAGCAGCAACAAACACGAGTCATCAAAACCCGCCGAAAGTGAAGAAATCAGTGCAGCACACAGATGTGGCACCCGGCCATACCTGCGCTTGCAGGCGGCCCAGAGCGCTGGCAATGTGGCCAGCACCAAAGTGTGGGCTTGCAGGCCCCTGCAGCAATCCAAGCCGTCGCAGTAGCCTGGCCACTGGTGGCGAGCCGCGCCAGTCCAGGGTGTCGGTGGTGGCGGCGCCGCCACCAGCTGCTGCTGCTGTCTTGGGGCCCCTGACCAAGCCTTCGGACCTCATCTCTGCTGGCCCTGCTTGTGGCAGCAGTTTACTTGTGCAGCGCCATACAACTCGGCAATTCCAGGCGGTGTACACCAGCCTGAACCCTTTTTGTCTTCGTGCCTGGTTTCGAAATCAACGGGTTCACTGTGCCCAATTTCTCTCGAGCTCGCTTTTCATTCGTATCGTGTCAGTGCATCCTGCTGTTCTACTCCTGCCGCTGCTGCCTCTCTAACAGACCTCTCTGTGTGTTAAAGGCCTGGAGCATGCACAGGAATCAAAGTATACAAAGGGGGCGAAGCGGGAGAGGGAGGAAAAGCAGGGGAAAATGCATGCATAAGTCGGGCATTTGAGCTAGTGTTGGCTCCACTGGATAGTCTTCAGGTCTATGCCTTCCTGCAATATATGGAGACAGAACATGACACGCAGAAGGAAGGGGGTTCCAACAGGGGGTGAAGTGTTGCATCAGCCTGACAACCGCACCTGGACCATCTCCCACAAGGGCGACATCTCCCGCAGCTGCAGGGCAAAGAACCCAAGCCCATGGTAAGGCTCACAAATGCGTGGTTGCCAACCTTCCCCAAAGCCAGCAGCATCACGCGTCCACACCTTGTTAACGTGTTGCACCGTCAGCTCGACTGCGCGGTCAACCTCTGCCTCTGTGGTGAAACGGCCAATGCCAAAACGGATGGAGGTATGTGCCTGCGAGCCAGAGGCGTTTGAACAACGGGCGGCTTGTGGAATCTCGCAATGGGGGCCAACGAACATCAAGCACCTGGCTCCATGGCACCCTACCATGTCCTCCTCAACACCTAGCGCCCGCAGCACGTAGGAAGGCTCCAAGCTGGCACTGGTGCATGCACTGCCACTCGAGACCGCAACATCCTGGAGAGTCGATGAAGCAGGTGACATTATTAGCGGGCAGTATGTAGCTTGAAAATGGTTTAGGAGCGGGAAATAATTAAAATGCCGGAGGCAAAGCCTTGCCTTAAGCCCCATGAGCAGCGACTCGCCCTCCACGTAGGCAAAGGACAGGTTGATGTTGCCGCAGTAGCGCGAGAGCGGGTCGCCGTTCAGCACAACGCCCTGCATAAGGCGGTAAGAAAGTGCAACACCACTTCTACATATGGTGGCGTGCAAGCCTGCCCTTGCAACAAACAAACTCGACAGGCGCCCTGCACCTGCAGCTGGGAGAGGATGCCATTGTAGAGCCGCTCGCTCAGCCGCTTGATGTGCCCCTGGTCTCGCTGCATTTCCTGGGCTGCAATGTCGCATGCTGCACCCAGGCCTGCAAACAATACACTCGTTCAGTAGCTTGAGCTCTAACAAACAGCAATACAAACAGCAAGCACATGAAACGGCTGCCATGCATACCTACTGCCAGGAAGTGTGGCACGGTGCCGCTGCGAAGGCCGCGCTCCTGGCCGCCGCCGCTCATCTGCGCTTCCAGGCGCACCCGCGGGCGGCGGCGGATGTAGATGGCGCCAATCCCCTTAGGCCCGTACAGCTTATGCCCGCTGATGGAGAGCAGGTCGATGTTCATGGCGTTGACGTCGATGGGGATCTTGCCCACCGCCTGTACAAGTGCCAGATGCTGTGGATGGGCCTCCGCTGATTGCAACGGTTACCGATGACCTGTTTGGTTCGCTTATCACCTGTGTCAACTTTCTGCCCCGCCTACCTGTGCTGCATCTGTGTGGAAGAAGACCTTGTTTTGGCGGCACAGCTTCCCAATCTCCATCAGCGGTTGCACAACGCCAATCTCGTTGTTAACCGCCATCACAGAGACCTGCAGGGTGGTTATGCTCGTGACCAGTGCGTCTGACGGTGGTTCGTTCAACATGCGTGTAGGCCAGGCAGGGTTCAAACCTTCCACTGTTGCATTGCCAGCCGACTGCTCACCAGGCTCGTCTCTGGGCGGATGGCATCAGCCAGCTGCCCCAGGTTGATCAGCCCATTCTTCTCCACAGGTAGGTAGGTAACATCGAAGCCGCGCTGCTGCAGGTACCGGCAGGAGTCCAGCACACACTTGTGGTCCGTCTGCAGCAGCGAGGAAGACACAGTTGCTGGTCCGTAACTGGCGCCTGATGCAGGCCCCAATGAGAGAGCAAACAACATTAGTGAGATGGTTAGTGGTCCTTTGCGCCTGCAAGCACAAGCAGCACAGCAACCTGAGTGGTGATGATGTGGTTTTTTTTGTCCTTGTAGAACTGCGCCACGCCCTTGATGGCCAGGTTGTTGGATTCGGTGGCGCCGCTTGTGAAGATGATCTCCTTGGGATCCGCGCCAATCACGCCTGCCACCTGCCACCATGTGAATCGGCACGAGCTCCGTTTGCAAGTGAGATCAGAGCAGAAATCATACAGTGATTCAAACCTCCTAAACAAATATGCCCATCCACCTGGGCACGAGCGACTTCCACCGCATCCTCGGCCTCCCAGCCATACAAGTGAGTGCGTGAATGCGGATTCCCATACTGCTCCGTCATGAATGGCAGCATGACATCAACGACCCGGGGATCCAGCGGGGTGGTGGCCTGCATGGGACAGCGACAGCGACTCGAGCGAAAATATTTCGTCTGAATCCGCCTCGCTCGCTCAGAATGCGCTACCTGCATGTCCAGGTACATGGGAGCGCCGCGCAGCTGGATTCCCTTCTTCTCTATCACTTCTTCCCCTGCAGCAGGCATGGGAGGCTCATTCATGGCGGTGATGGCAAAAAATGCAGGCGGCAGCGGCTGCCGTCCAGTTGGCGTGCCCTCAGCCACACTGATCAACCTTCTCACGACTTGGACGCCCAAATGGCGGATTGATACCAACGCAATACGTCCGGCCAGCGGCGCCTCACCAGCGAGCGGCTCTGCTTGGGCTGCGCTGAACCATCGGCCAGTGCCGATCAGACTGCCTCTTTGGGTGCACAGGGCGGGGAGGTGCTGGGCCACGGCCCGTAGGCCCCGGCTGGCCGTGGACAGCATTTCCTACCACAACACACAAGTCAGGGTGCAAACTTTACAGCAAGAGGTGCACAACAACCAATCTCCGAGAGACTCATTGATTCATATGAGAGTGAGTTGTCCAGCAGGGCGCCAGCGGGGATGCCGGAAGGCACCAAACACGTGTGCATTTCTGCCCTACAGAGTGGCATCCGCCAGCGCGCTCTGCAGCTTGGCCGCCACCGCCGCCGACCAGGCACGTTCCCTGCCGCTGAGCGCACGCGGCCGCTCCGAGAGCAGCAGCAAGACCCCACGGCATGTGCCAGCTCCATTTGGTAGCTGATCACCTGCTGCTGCTGTAGCGCTCGTGCCCCCCAGCGGTCGCAGCGGCTGCACCAGCACCGCCTCGGCGCCCTCGGCCACGCAGCCCCAGCTGCCTGCCCCTGCGCGTCCCATGGCCGTCCGGTCTGGGCAGTACAATACCCCCTGCTGCCACTTGCTGCTGGCAGCTGCCAGCTCGGTGCTGCTCAAAGCAGCCAAAACTCTTGCAGCGGCCTTGTCTCGATCGCTGCCAGATGGTGCGTTTAGTGATGGCACGCGGAGCAGCCCGCGCACCAGCACTGCCTGCCCGTCCCAGAACGCCGCCAGGCCGCAAATGTTTGTGTTAAGCAGCAGGGCGTAGGAAGCCCACGCCAGCTCCTGCTGCAAAGCATGTCATGTATGGTCGGGATCCCCCAGCATGCAACCCATGCTGCCTTTGCCATGCCCAGATGAATGTTCAACTGTTGTAAGGTCCATAATCAGTACGCTCCGTCGTCAGCAGGCAGCTGCCACATACCTGTGTTTGGGCTTCGGGCATGCTGGGTGGCAATGCAAACGCGGAGATGGCGCCTTCTACGCGCCCTGCTGCTGCCTGCCTTCCCCGTCCCGGCTGCAGCTCCTTCAGCCGCAGCTCAATGGTGGGTGCCACACAAGCTACTGCAGCAAGCATGGTCCCCAGTGCCTCGGCCCGGGCCTGCACTGGCAGGGTAGTCGGGTGGGATGGTTGAGAGTGGAATGGAAGTGAAACTGAAAGCATAGCAAAGGAAGCCCCCATCACCTATGCAGTTGCAAGCTAACAAACGGCAGCCCGCCTCCGCCTGCCTGGGCATCTGACGGCGCCTGGTCTGCCAGCAAGTGGTTCAGCAGTAGCAGCACAGCCCCCGTTGCGCCAACCACCCTGGGCACCAGCGCATCGATTGCGTCGCTGCCCAGCGTGAAACGGAACACTGCCACATCAGAGTCACCGTCGGCGGCCGCCGCTGCGGGCTGGGCGCGGCAAAGGCGGCGGGGCGCCGGCCACGGAGCGGCGCCGACTGGTGGCTTCTTTCCCTGAAGCAACACCCTGCCACGGAGCAGCGATGAGCGTCGCGAAGAGGAGGTCGCGACCCGCTCTGGAGAGGCCGCAGCGAGCTCAAGCATTGGCCTGTAGCCTGTGCTGTTACAGCGGGAATGAAGGAGGAGAAGAAGAAGAAGAAGAGAATACGCGGGACGCGTGAAATGGCATGGGGGCCCTATGGCCGCTATACCGTCGCCGTTGTACTGCCAGGCGGTTGAAGGTACGTGAGTCTGGCATGTTTGCATCAGATTTACAGGCATGTGATCCTCTCGCAGGGAGAGCTACAGCGCTGCAATTCCTGCTGCTGCACTATCGGCAATCCCGCTCACGTCCAAAATCCGCAGGGTCGTCAGCGGCTGCATTACCAAGGAATGGGAGAAGCGACAGATGAGCAGATAGAAGTGGATATAGGAGCGGGGCTTAACCAGTTCCCAAACAGGCTAAGTTCCTTCTTCACAGCACTAGGCCCTTGCTGTTCACAGCACACCTGGCGGTGCCCGCGCAGGCGGCGCGAGTTTTTCCTGCGCCGCTTGTGGAAGATGAGCACCTTGCCGTCCAAGAACTGCTCCTGCGGACCAAAAAACGGTGCAAAACTCGGCTCAGGCAAAAACAATCATGCAGTCCGGCACAGTGCATGAAGCGACCTCCTGCCCGCCTGAATGAGCGGGCAAGAGGTCGGGCGTGCGCTGCCACCGCTGCCCACCGCACCTCGACTGCCGCTGTGACTGCCGCATGGGGCACATACGGCCGGCCAACGATGGTTTCCGCCTGAGACCCCAGCAGCAACACGCGCTGCAGCTGCAGCTTGTCGTTCACGTCCACGTCTGCCAGTTTCTCCACGACGATCACGTCGTTGGGGGCTACTTTGTACTGCGTGCCGCCCACCTCCACCACCGCAAACACGCTCCTGGCTGGCACGCTGTACTGCTGCTGGACCCGCTCATCCAACCGCACATACACGTCGGGCGGCGCCTCTGGTGTGGGCTCTGCCGGGCAGGCAGGGTCGGCGGCAGGTGTGGCAGTGGGGCGCACCGCTGCTGCTGCCGCTGCTTGCTGTGTCCAGGCTGCAAACTCGTGTCGCGGCAGACACGTAGCAGAGACGCAGCAGAGGCTCTGCCATGTGACTGCGCCTGCTGGTGGCAGGGCCTCGCCTGCCGCCACTGGAGCTACGCGGGAGAGGGACAAGGCGGCTTGCCTTAGCATCACGCGAGTGCAGAAGCGACGGCGCCAACAGCTGTGGAGAGGCGGCGCTCTAGGTCCGCAACCTGGTTGGAATTTGCAGCCGCATGCGGGAGCTCTGGGAGCAGCCCACTCATGCTCGACGCTGAGCTGGCGAGGGGAAACATATGGGCTCCAGAGCGCAAGCGCTGTGTCGAGCTTCAATTCTACCAAAACACGTGTTCACGCCCCATTGTGAGCTGCCGCTCCAGCAGTGTCCCCATCATCTTCGGATCGGCCCTTATTCCCAAGCTGCAGGGGCCTATTGCGCAGCACAGGGCGCCTGGCGTCCCCCGCACCAAACTTCATTCTGCTGGCTAGCGCTCTACGCGTCAGGGGCCGCCGCAAACGCGGTGCATCTGCCGCGGGCATGTGGAGCGCTCGGCTTTCGTGAAGCTAAGCATCCTATCCCCACCCCAGCGGCTACTCCATGCTGCCGCCGACGCTGGTGGCCGCGCGCAAGCCTGGCGCCCCCCACCGCTGCCCTGGTGCTGCCGGCGGCCGCGTCCTCCGGTACATGGACAGGCTGCTGGTCACCCTGTGCCTGCTGACCTCGGTCGTGCTTCTCTACCGCTGTCTCGTATTTACCGGCGGCCTGCTGCCCTTTGGGCCCGGCAGCAGTGCCGACGGTGTCGACGGCCGCAGTGGCGGCACCACGGTCATCGCTGCCACGGCAACCTCGCAAGGCACGGGCAATTTGGTTACAGAGCTGGTCATCGACCGCTTTGGGCGGACCCGGTCCACTACCGTCACGCAGAATGGGCAGGACATGTCCATCACAGTGCTCGGCAGCGACAGCAGCCTGCGCAGCCGGCGTGCAGCACTGCGGCGAGCGGCGGTCGAGCGACAACCGGTGGTGGGCGCTGCTGCGCTGGATGCTGGCGAGCAGGAGCAGGAGCCCGAGGCATACCCGGGCTTGCCGCGAGACTTTGATGCGCAGGTGGGCGACCTTGTTGCACCTGTTTGTAGCAAAGGGTTCGATGAGACTGGCAGAGCACAGCCTAGGTCCTGGCCCCTACCCTGCTGGGCTGCAGGCCTACCTGATGTACCATCCTGACCTACGCAAGCTGGGCATGAGCACAGCGGACGAGGCAAAGCAGCACTACTTGCAGCAGGGGCGGGCCGAGGGGCGGCCATACAAACGGCTGCGTGTGCTGCTGCGCTACACTGCATGCACGGGGCTGATTAATCAGCACTACAGCCACATCGCAGCCTTCACCCTGGCAGCGGCCCTGGGCGCAGAGCTGGTGCTGCCGCCCGCGGTGTGCCGAGACTCGTTTGCGCACTACTTCAGGTGCGAGTTTGCCGCTTTCTTTGTGCCCATGGCATCAGACAACCGCTGCTCGGGCCAGTATTGTTGCTGGCTTGCTTGCACACAACAGGTACAGACGTTGTATTGCTTGTGTTGGCTTGCTGCAGCATGAACAGAGAAAAGAACGAGGTGCGGTGGTCGCCGGTGCCCCTCGAAAGCCTCCTCGACGTGGATGCTATCATCGACTACTGGCGGCCGCGAGGCATGGTCGTGCATCGGACGCCATCACTGCGGCCCTTCCCAGATCTAACCATGCCAGAGGCTGCATTTCCGCAATACCCGCTGGGGAGCTTGGACCCCAACCTTGTAGTAAGGCAAGTGGGGCATCTCCTGTGTCCTGGAGGCGGTGGTCCAGCAGCAGCTGCTGGCACAGCTAACCGGATCTGTTTCTTCGTGCTTGCCTGCTCTGCAGGATGGAGGGCGTGTATCTTCGGAATTTGGACCTTGCAGACCTGATGGAACGCGCCCGGATGGCGGTGGTGGGTCAGGCCACCAGCATCCTACGGGACGACCCAGCGGCAGACTTGCAGTACGTCGTGTTGGACATGCCGTGCAGCTTCTTCTCCCTGCGATCGCTCAGGTTGGTGAAAGTCATCTGCAACAAAACCGTTGTGGATCAGTCGGCAATGTGGTAGAATTGGCATGCTTTGTGTTCTGAGCGACATGATGGGCAGGCAGGTAGAGAGATTCCTCGTTCTCTGGCTCAACCGCCACCTGGTTGCTTCGCGCCCCCACTGCTCTGCAGCAACTTGCCCGTGGTGACAGAGGTGGCCAAAAGCCTAGTATTTGCTCCGGAGCTGCTTGCCATGGCCGATCGCATTGTCGATGCAATGACAGAAGGGAGCGCCCAGCCCTTCAATGGCCTGCACCTGCGCATCGAAAAGGACGCCCGCGACTGGGCTACCATCATGGGCGGCCAGCAGGCAAGCTGCCTGCGGGTTGATGTTCAATGGCTTGGGGCGGAAGTTGGTGTGGGGCGACAGGCTGTTTGGACGTCACTTCTCACACCGTGCTACACTCTCATCCTGCCACTGTGCAGGTGGTATGGAAGGGCTACATTTCTACCATGCGCAGCGTGGGTTTTAACAGCACGACTCGCATCTACGTGGCATCCGGCATGCTCACCTACGGCGCCTCTGGTGGGCTTCAGGGTGCACGACAGGAGTGCCCATGCTGCACGTTTATTTGCTTCGTGCTTTGGGCAGATCCACATAGCTGCCTTGCCAAGCCATCTGCGCCATGTGCAGTTGAGATGGATCGCACCAAGAACTACCTGATGCACACCGGCGTATGCAGCCGGGTGCACCATAAGGAGCAGTACATCCCACAGAAGGAGCTGGAGGGTGCGTACTGCGATGGCCGCGCCGGTCATTGGCGTGGGTCGGCTTTCGGGTTGGGCAGCGATTTGCCCGACACCCCCTGCAGGCCTGACCTGCATTCATCTGCCCTTGGGCGGTTCTGGCGTTGTTGCAGTGTTGAATAGCGAGCAAAAGGCGCTGCTGGACTTCCTGGTGCTGGCACGGGCGCAGCGCTTTGCCGGCTTTGGCTCCTCCACCTTCTCCTTCTACCTGCGCGAGTATCGAGCGCTTCATGTGCGTGTGCTGGCGCTTTCATGCTGCCTGCTGAATCCACAGTGACGATTCACCACACAATCTGCGATCCATGCTCGTGCTGCAGGGCATCCCACGTTCAACCTCCGCTCTGGTGGACGCCCACGTGATTGGCACTGATAACCTCTTCCACACGGCGGGGACGATTGTCTGGAATGGACAGGCGCTGGAAGGACGAATCTAGCACCAGCTGCATTCCTTGAATTGTATCACAAACCTACATTGCAACATTCACATGAGAAGAAGAAGAAGAAGAAGAAGAAGAAGAAGAAGAAGAAGAAGAAGAGAATACGCGGGACGATGAGTAGCCAATGGTTGAGCGTGCCAACGCGGCGGGGTGCCAGACGTTAGGTGGGACGTTAGGTCGGCTGATTGCCCTGTTTCACCCCTCCTTATCAGATGCGCGTCAATGGCTTACAATCCGGACGGCGCGCTGCATTGGGCCCAGCAGCAGCAGCAGTGGCAGGCCTATGGGCAGCAACAGTTCTCAACGCAGCCAGGCCCGCCCTCGCAGCCTGCTGCCCAGCCCCCGCTGCCGCCCGCTGAGTACACATACTCAGGCTGGTATGGCCAGTGGCCACAGCAGCAGCAGCATGGCGGGTATGCAGGCTACCCGGCTGCGCAGCAGCAGCAACAGTGGGATTGGCAACACGGCCAGGCTCCGGCCTGGCACCATCCAACGTGCGATGGCCCTCTTTCGTCAACATCCAGTTAGCACCCCTCTCCTCCTCAACACGCCTGTGCTCTGTCTGCAGGCATCCAGCAGCATGGCCAGCCACCATGCCGCAGCCTCCGCCGCCGCCGGGCCCGCCGCCGGGGGCCCCGCCACAGCACTGCTCATCCGCAGCTGGCCATATGGCAGCGCCCGCAACTGGCATTGGTGATGGCAGTTTTGTACAGCAGCAGCAACCCCAGCACCAGCGTGCTGCATATAGTGCAATCCCACCCCCGGCGTCACTGGTGCAGCATTCCTCGGCGACGGCGGCCAGTGGCAGGCGCACCTTCACCATCCGTCCGCAGCTGCCCAAGCCCAAGGCCACAGAGAGCGCCAGCTCATTGATGCTAGCATTCAATCAGGCTGCGGCCAAGCTGAACAGCAGCATGGCACCCGCGGCGGCAGCACCAGCATACATGCGCGTGCAGGCGGGCACAGCCAACGCCCCACAGCAGGGAGCAGTGGCGCCACAGCAGTGGCCACCTGCCCTCAAGGCCTATGTGGAGCGGGCTTTCAAAGCCTGCGACTTGGTGAGTGCTGCTGCATGGCCAATGCCGCGCTGCTGCTTCCCTTATGCCACGGCAGTTCGTTCATTCACAACACACCATCCTGGGTATCCTATCTACATTTGTTTCTTTGCAGCGCCAGCGGCCCAAGCTGCAGGACGTGCTGAAAAATGTCATTGGCAGTGCACAGGCATCAGGTGGGCAGCAGGGGCGAGGGAGGTAGCTGTTTCACTAGCAACCTGGCAACTTCTTCTGTACAACACAGCCTGCCAGCCTCTCTTGCAGGTGAACTCTGGACGCGAGCCTGGGAGGCGATGCCGCTGCCAGACCTCACTCAGTGTGCAGTTGACGCTGCAGCAGTGCTTGCCGAGGTGGCAGCCGTAGCGGGCCCGGCTGTTGCAGCCCAAGGGCCTGGACAGGGCTTCCATCCATGGCCCGCTGTCGCTGGCAATGTTGTGGTCCGGCAACAGGACGCGCCGCAGCAACAGAAGCAGGTTGGGCGGCAAACACAGCGGCGGCGGCTGGATTCAGAGGGTGGCCGTCACGGAAGACGCAGCTACCGCAGCATCGGGGACTCCTCTAGCTCTGACTCAGGCATGGCTATCTTTCCGAATGAAAGCTGTGGCTGCCACACTTGCAGTCTCTGCTCTGTGGCATGAAGACATTTCCTGCTGGCAGCGTGCATTGTGTAACCTGCTCACACAAATGCCTGCAGAACACGAGCATTGGTCGTATGTTGAGCGGCAGCGGCGGAAGCGCCGAGCAGGACGCTTTGCAGATGCGCGTGGCAGGTACGGCTGATGCGTCGCCGTAACGCGCATCCACTGGATTGTTTTGCCGGCGTGGCGCTGAGCTGCCTGCGAAAGATTCGCCCATTGCTTCTATTCATGCCCCCATTGCTGACTTGCCCCCATTGCTGACCTGCAGCGGCAAACCTGGTGGCGGCAGTGCATGGAAGCCTGAGGAGCGCCGGCTGCAGCTGCTAGCTATGCTAGAGGAGGGAGAGGACGAGGACGTGGACTGGGATGCGCTGGCCATTAAGGTGCAGACACACATTGAGAGCATGGGAGCAATTCCCCCCAGTGTGGCCGCCCGCTCAATCCAGCCACCATTGCCCTTTCAATCTGGAGTGCAGGGCACCTGCCAGGAGCTGGAGAAGAGTTACTTCCGGCTGACATCTGCGCCTGATCCAGCAACAGTCAGGCAAGGAAAGCGCGTGTGGAAAAGGGAATAACCTGCCTGCTTGTACTCGGGTAATCCTCCGCATTTTGTTCTTGCAGGCCTGAACCGGTGCTGCGACTGGCGCTGGACCGACTCGTCGCGCTGTTACGAACCAAAAAGGTCAACTACTTTTATGCGCTGGATCAGTTCAAGGTAGGTTTGGCCCAGCAGTTGCCTGACGCCAAGTAGCAACTGACCTGCCTTTGGCACTGACATTTCTAAGCTCTGAGACTGCAGGGCATGCGCCAGGATTGCACCGTGCAGCACATCCGCAACGAGTTGGTTGTGCAGGTATACGAGGCGCATGCAAGGGCAGCACTAGAATATGGCGATTCTGCTGAGTTCAATCAGTGCCAAGCGCAGCTACGTGTGCTGTACAATGGTGGGTGTGCATGGATGGTATTGCGACAGCAGGGTGGTCAGGGCGGGGGTGCGAGGCAGGAATGGACACGTGATTGGATTGAGTTTGGACTGTCGGACGGCAAGGTACTCTAATTTGCTTCTGCTGCAGAGGGTGTGCACGGCAGCCGCAGCGAGTTCCTGAGTTACAGGTGTGTAGGGGAAACAACGCGCACGCTGGGCAACTCTTCCCCGGCAAACTCATAGTGTGTGGAGCTGCAGGATTCTGTACCAAGCCATTCATGCAAGGCATGGGGAGATTTTGCAGCTGCTCAACACGTTGAAGAAAGTCAACCAAGAGGTGCGCCGCTATGTCTCGCCGTCCGCACTGTGCTGTCAGCCGGGCTCTCACCGAGTTCTGCCTCGCTCTCCCTTCTGCAGGAGGCAGCGCAACCACGTGTGGCCCATGCACTTGCAGTTCGAGCAGCACTTGCAGCAGCAGACTATCCCCGCTTCTTCTGCCTTTACCACATCGCTCCAGGACTAGGCAGGGCCCTTATGGACATCTACGTGCCCAAGTTGCGCTTTGAAGCCCTTCAAACTATATGCAAGGCTTTCAAGCCTACAGTGCCGCTGCCCTTTCTTGCAGCTGTCCTGGGCTTTGTTGCCACTGCTGCAGCCGGTACTGCAGCACCAGCGACAGCAGGAACTACAGAAGCAGGTAAGTTGGTGGGCAGTCAACCGCGCAAACACACTGGGGCTGCAGCTGGGGCTGGTGAAGGCTCGGCAGTGGCGGGCGGAGATGAACGAGCAGAAAGCGCTAATGAACCACCACCCGGGTGCAAGGAAGCTCGTTTTGAGGGCGAATATGCTGCGCAGGTGGGCCATGACTTTGGTGCCTGTTGCCTTGCGCGGCTTCTCCAAGGTTTTGCCTGCCGGCCGGCTTCCGTTGCCTTTTCTTTCTGGCTTTTATTGTTTTTGTCGAAAATTGCTGCTTTGCAGGTCGACATGGCTGAGGGTTGCAGGGAATGCATTCAGTGGCTGGGACAGTGTGGGGCTGTTGTCCTGAATGCCGAGGCGCCCCAGGAGGCAACACTCGACTGTAAAGCCAGTGCAGGCCACTTGAAGATGCCAAGCCCAGTGGCAAAAGTAGCTCATGACGACATGAATCTCACTGTTGACGACTTTTTGAAAGGCGCGATGGCATCATGAGCTTTGCAGGGCACTCATCGTTCATCTTCCATGCTGGCACATGTAACACATTCAGACAGTCATTTTGACAGGAATTGTGGCACAATACACCTGCTGAGGCGCCCCGTGTGCCTGCCTGCCTCGCTTCTTGCTCTTGCTGCCTCCACCGCTTCCTAGCAGCTGTGCTGCCCACTCCTCCAAGCTCCCCGGCACCAGTGCCTTGAGCTCCTGAGTGGCCGCCTGCTTCACCTCCTCGTCCCCGCACTGCAGCAGTGCTGCCAATACCTTGGCAGCATGCGTGTCCACCCAGTCATGGCAGCGCCCCTGCAGTGCGCCGTGCCACAGCTTGCTGGCAAAGGATGCTGCAGCTGCGCCGCTGGCATCTGTGGCGCTGGACGCCAGCACCAGCCGCCGCAACGCCCTGCTCCCGAAAAAGTGCGTCAGGGCTGGATCTTGCAGCTGTGCCAGCATGCCCTCCTCCTTGCTGCCCTCGGCGGCATCAGCACTGCTGCCCACCACTGCTGCAACCAGCGCGTCGTGCGCTGTACCCAGCAAGCCCGCCTCTCCCAGACACTCCTCCAGCAGGCCGCCTTCTCCGCCCCGGCATATCTCCACGAGGATGTCACTGCCATGCTGGGAGCGCATGAGCTGCGGTGCGTGCTCAGTGCACAGTTTTATAAGCGCTGTCGCCAGGCTGCTGCTGCCACCACTGGCCAGTAACTCTCGCCTCCGCACGTCCGGATGCTTCTTGCTGACACCTAGAGGTCCAGATGGGAGTCTGGCACTGCTGGATTCCAGCTGCAGGCAGTTGCCGCAAGCATGCTATTGCCTCAGACGACAGCAGGTGATACTGCTTTGGAAAGGCGCAGCCGACAGACGAGCAGCACCACATCAACCCACCTCCTTGTCAGAGTCTGCTGCGAGTGCTGGCTCTGCTGCATCCTCGCGCTGCAGCTGCTGCAATGGGGGCTGCGCTGCGCTTTGGTGCGTCTGTTGGCGCTGCATGGCTTCTGCCGAGTACTCCTTTGCCGGTGGGCGGCTGATGGCAAGAAGTTGTGGCGGCAGATAGCGGCCGCAGTAGGGGTGCAGCAGCTGCATGAGCACGCGGTAGCCGTACTTGTGTTCAACCAGCTCAGCCAGGTCGCTCTGCACAAAAGGCAATGGATAGCATAGGACGGGGACGAATACGATGTCACAAATTCCATCCGTGGCCTCCAGGGCTCCCACCCACCTGCAACTCGGACGCCACCACCTTCCGCAACAGAGTTGTGTCGTCTACCACGCTCAGAGCAGTGGTGAGTGCAAGGTGGCCCCATTCATCGCGAGCCATGGCAACCACGTGACCCTGCAAACCAAACCCAGGCCTCAGGTTGTCAATTGATTACCCTTGCCTGCCTCCCGCTGCATGTGCATGCGCACCTTCATGCTCTTGAGCGCCTTCTTCCTGTCCTTGGCTGTCCCATATGCCAGCGTCATGCATGCAACCTTGGCGCCCTCCTGCAGGTGGTGGCATGACGTCCACAGAAAGGGCCTGAAGTTCCAGCAAGCACGCTATTAATTTGCTAAGACCACAGCTTGCCACATGTGCCCTTGGACAACCCGCCAGGCATTCACCTTGGTGTGCACCATGTGCAGCAGGGGGTCGCCTGACAGATTCTCTGCGGCATCGGCCACAACCGAGGCAGGAGAGAATTCCATGAACTCGCTGAGCAGCCTGTAGGGCAGGGGAGAGCGCCAGAGCCACTTTGAGAGATGCGTGGGCTTATAAAGAACAACGGGGTGTGGGGGCTATCTCCTTGTAGGAGATTCATTGCATGCAAAGGACCCCCTAGATAAAACCAGGATGCGACAGCTGTGGGCAGCAGCAAGCCAGCTGCTGCCCATAGCCACCATAGGTGGCGGTGGTGGGGAGGGTACCTGTGCACCAGGGGACAGTCCACTAGGCCCTTCTCCATGATGGGGATTAGGTGCTTGCTCATGTGCTGAATGATGGAGCGCTGCTTGGCAGCATCCACGAGTGCCATAAGATCGGCGAGGCGGCCAGGTGCGCCTGCAGGCAGAGGGGCTTGTTTACAAGTGATGGGCGATGGCATAAGCAGCCACAAACATCCCAGCTCTCAACCACAAATCAGGCTCGACAACCCCACAGTGAGACGGATGCTCTTCTGGAGAAGGTGCCATGGGTGGCATATTGCTGCCCCAATCCAGCACAAGTGCACGCACCCTGGGTGTTGTTCAGCGTGCCACCTTCAAGGACCACATACTCCTTGCCGTAGAACTCTGCCGCCATCAGATTACGTTGCTTGGCATCGGCCACTGCACATCATACCAAAGGTTGAGCAGCATTGCAGCAGGGGGGCTAATAAACTATGCCTTTTCACATGCACAGGCCATCGAAGTGCCAAGCCCTGCTGCAGCGGCAGCCACCTGCATAGAGATCGTCCACGACATGGCAGCCGGCCGGGTGCCGTAGCAGCTCGCCCAGGTGCCCCCTGAAGACCTTGAGTATGCCTGCCCAGCAGCAAGACCGCACTTCGGGAGAATCAGGACTGTGCAGAGAAGGCATGCAACCTGCCGCCGATGTCCATCCAACAAATACATCACACAGGATGAACAGACATTCGTGCCTTCTGAAAGCAGCTTGCTGCCCGCACCCGGCAGCTGCTCTCTGGGCGCCAGGCTGACCAGCTTGCTGACCACAAAGTGGCCATACGGGCTCTTGCTGAGGTCCAACAGCTTGGGTCCCAGCTCCTTCAAGATGGCAGCCCGCTCTGCGATAGTGTTGACCAGGCGGGTGGGGCTGGATCAAGTGCGCGGACGGGCCGCCAAACGGATGGCCCAGTAGCGGGGGTGGGCCGGGTGCCATATGCAGGACTGGCATGCCGGAGCCACAACCCACCTGCGCGGCTGCCATATTTGGCACACGTCTGGATGATGCGCGAGGCGCTGTGCGAGCCGGCCAGCTCTGCTAGTCTGCCCTCCACCTTTTGCAGGATCGCAGACACCAGCTTGGCCCTCTTTTCGACGCTTGTGTCGTGCCTTCTTGCTTCCTCCCACAGTGCCGTGATTTCTTGGATGAGGGTGAAATTCTTGTTGCGGCGCGCCTTGCGCGCGCGGTCAAGCTCCTTGCGCTCCTTGCTGCGGGTGGGGCAGCCAGCGGCGGCAGTCAGCGCGGGGTGGGCGCTGGTGGCGGCAGGTGCCGGCGGCAGTCCTCGCCCACCGCGGCTCACCGATTTAGCGTCCTTAGCAGCTTGGCGTGTGCTGGGCCTTGGCTCCCGCTGCTGCCGGGTCCCGTGGGGGCGCCAGCTTTCTGCTCGTTGCTCTGCCTGGCCATGCCCTCGAGTGCTGGGTGAAAGACTGCATGCATGCATGCATGCAGAGAACTGCATGCATGCAGAGAAGAGGATCTCCGCGGGGCGGTACAGTCGAAGCCTTCGCGACCAATTCAACCAGCTGACCTACCATCGCAGACGATCGCTTCATTCAAAGGTCACCTACCTGCGCTGAATCGACTGGCCCAGTCTGGCGAGATGGCTGGGCGGGATAGGTGAGTGCGCTCGCGTTTCCTGGTGGTGCCCTTGGCACGCTGGGGCCATAACGGGCTGCATCACAGGGCCAGATGCTGAGGATGAGCGCGCATGTGTGAGCCAACTTTGTTCAGGGGCTTCGTCGGCAGCAGGATCTCAGAGAAGAAGCGACTGCAAGAGGCAGTGTCGGGACACCGCACCGGTCTGCCGGACAGGCTCTTGAGGCTCTTTGCGGCGCGCCCCCCGCTGCCGCCACACCGCGCGCCGCCCAAGAAGCCCCCCAAGCTGCCGTACACCGGCATCGCGCAGTATGTGTCGCATTTTGTGGAGCGGGGGGACCCGGAATATGAGCCGCCACCGCCAGAGACGCAGCCGCCACCGCCCCGCATCTTTCGCAACCCCGAGATGCCGACGCAGGCGCGGGTGGACATCGAGAGCAAAGTGGAGAAGTGAGCACGCTGTTGGCGCACTCAGGGGCGAACGTGCTGACGCTCTTTGTCCTGCTTCCCTGTCTGGCGATCTGCTCGTGTTCGGCATCCACCTAATCCGCTCCCCCCCGCCCACCCTGCGCAGGGACATCCGGGTACGGCAAGAACGGCAGCAGAGGGCGGCACGACAGCGGGAGGAGAACCTGAAGAGCTGGGATCCCAGCAAAGACCCCAATGTGGAGGTGGGCAGCCGACTACACATGCTGCCATGCCGTACTATGGCAGCACAACACTGGGCCCTTGCAGCTGTGCCTGGCCCGCGTCGGTTGCCTGCTCTCACCTGCATGCCGGCTGCATCTGCCGCAGGGAGACCCCTTCAAGACGCTCTTTGTGTCACGTCTGTCATATGACGTGACAGAACGCAAGCTGAAGCGCGAGTTTGAGGAGTACGGGCCCATCAAGCGCATCCGCCTGGTGCACAACAAGAACTCGGGTGCGCTTGGTGTGCAAAGGGGCACCAGAGGGGGGGAGGCACGGGATCGGGCACCGTACAAGCAGGCGAAGGCTTGGGATTGCAGAGGTAACATGCTGACGTGGAGGTGGCGTACATTCTTGCACACATCACACTCAACTGTCGCCGTTCTTGTCCCACTCTGCTGCAGGCAAGCCGCGCGGCTACGCCTTCATCGAATACGAGCACAAGAACGACATGAAGCAGGCGTACAAGATGGCCGATGGACGCAAAATTGAGGACAGGCGTGTGCTGGTGGATGTAGAGCGCGGCCGCACCGTACCACACTGGTATGCTTGGCCTGCCTTGCTGGTTTGTCCTGCGACGTGTTGTCAAGTATCAAGTGCGAGTGTGGGGTTACTGTTCCAGTTGATCACGCATACATCTACCCTTCCTGCCGCCCTCTGCCGTGTGCAACCTGTAGGCGGCCGCGCCGGTTTGGTGGCGGTAAGGGCAGTGAGTCGCGCATGGTGTCTCGACCGCCAAAGGACCTGAAGCGACAGTTTGTGGCCCGCCTGGTGGAGCGAGCCATGGCGGAGAAGTGAGTGGTTGTGGTGCTTCTCATCATGATTGCTGCTTAGTAAGTACTTACTAACCTTCAAGCTGTGCCTTGACACAGGGAGCGACTCACGACTCGAGCAGTGTTGGAGAGGGAGGAACGAGAGCAGGAGCCGCGGCATACAGAGCGCAGCAGGGACACCCGGCGTGATCACGATCGGAGCAGGTGCGTGACTGGCTGCTGGGTTGTTTTAAGTGCATGAAAACAGGCAGCCATGATGACGCCTTGGTGAACTTCCTTACAGGGAGCGGCGGTCAGACACTGGAGACAGGCGGAAGCGAGAGCGGGACGATTATGGAACGTACGACCGACAGCGAGACTCCAAGCGGCGAGAGCGGGACCTTTGAAGGTGACGAGATGAAGGCGGCGCGTGCACAGCAAGCCACGAACGCGCAGCCCGCCATGGAGTGCTGGTTGCTCTGCCAAAGACCCCCCCTTCATTGGGTGTTGTTGTTATGATTTGACTGGAATGAAGAAGTGGGGGCAGGCGCTATGCATTTGCTTGAAATGAAAGGAATCGATGGGAATCAGAGCTATAGTACACCGGAAACGTCAGGGCAACAGGAAACACCTTGGGTTTCATCAAACGGCGGCTGGGGCCCTATGCTGCGGTGGTTCTGCGGCCGGGCTGCCAGCATGCGCTGCAGATGAGCTTGCCAAGGTATTCTCTGTGCCGGGGCTGGGCCACTCGCCCATCGAGCTGCCGCCCATTAAGCTGGCGCTGGCACTGCTGGTGCCGATGTGCTGGTCCGCCAGCAATTGCAGCTGAGCCTGACGGGCCAGCACCATGTCGAGCTTGGCCTTGAGCTCCGTATTAATGTCCTGCAGCCGCAGCATCTGTTCCTGCTGCGCCAGATTTAACTGAGCGCCAGCTGCTGTGTGCCGTGACACGGAAAGCTGAGCCTCAACCAGCTTCAGTGCGTTCAGGACCCTGCCACTGCTGCCCACCCCAGCCTGGGCGGCGTGTTGACTGTGCGCCTTCAGGGAAGGCGCTGCCGACAGGACAGACGGCGCCGCGACAGGGGGTCTGCCAGGCAGACGGTCGATGCCTATGCCCTTCTGAAGCTGGCTACGCAGATCAGCAATTTCCTGGCGCAGGGAGGCCACTACTGCAGCACGCGGCTGCGGCTTGCCAGGCTCAAACAAATGCGCCAGCTCTGTCTCCTTTGCCGCAACCAAAGACGTGAGCTGCTCGTGGGCGGTGGCGGTGGCGGTGACGGGGCGGCGAATTGGGTGCGCTCGGGCCGCAGGCCTTGATTGCAGGGCTCCGCATCCTGCAACCGGCCCTCAAGCTGGGTGAGGGACACGAAAAGGGACGGGAGATACAAGAAGGCAACCTGCTTCGACGACGATTCCTCACCCCTGGGCCTGCACTGGGTCAGCTTCGACACGCGACCGTGGCCCAGCGAAGCCATGTGCGTTGCCGGGCGGCGTAGGAAGCAGGCTTATGCTGCTGTCTACCACCAGGCTGGGGGGACACTCTGGCTGGCAAACCTGAATTACAACAGCTTTTCCCACACAAACGCGAATTTTAAGTTGGAGCGCGGCATGTCAGCCTCCATGAACTTCGCCCGCATGGACAGCGCCCCGCAGCCCAGCAGTTGCTGCGGGCAGCGTGCGCAGCAACGCACGCATGGGCCGCTGCCGCCGCTGCAGAGGATCAGCCAAGTCCTGGGGTGCCTGCTGCTGCGCATCTGCCGCCTGCTGCTGCGCATCGATACGCTCCTCCTCCAACACATTCATTGCCGCCAGGATGTAGTCGCCGAGGAATGTTGACCTCAGTAACCTATCGCACCTCGCAAAATGGCGGTGGGTGTAGGGCTGCAGGCTCTCTAGCAATCCATACAGTCCAGGCACTGCCAGAATCTCCTGCCAGGAAGCAAGGACCATGCCAATCAGCATGACAGGCGTACCAGGCCAATCAGCATGCCGCAAGATGTGCAGGAGAGAGCGAACACAGGTCAAACGGCACCAAACACCCACCTCTGGACGCCGGGTGTGCAGCACCGCCTGCAGCATGGCCTGCGCCGCGTGGCAGTTCTTGGCGTTTGCATTCCACTCCCTGCGGGCAGGGCAAAAGCCATCAACATCCGCCTCCAAACATTGACAGAGAGGCATCAAACCAATGCTAAAACAACTGACCTGCAGTACTCCAGGCAAGGCTGCACATCGTCAACGCGCATAGCCGCTGCCAGTGACTCCAGTGCGCGGCTGCCATCGTGCTGCCCCCGCTCTAGCACCTGTCGCACAACTGCCAGCAGGCGGCCTGGGTGCCGCATCTCAAAAGCCAGCGTCACTGCCTTGGCATGGTCCGCATCCTGCATGAGAGGTGAAGGGTGTTGAGCGGGCACAACTCGACAGTTGATGCCCACCAGCCAGTGGCTACTGGACCAGAAACCAGCTCACACCTTGAGCGCATTGGCTAGGTCCTGGTCCTTGAGCACGGCATGCTCTGCCAGTGCTGCTGCCTCGTCAGCATCCCCCGTGGTGCAGTCCTCCCAGAGGGCAATGGCGCCATCGCCTCCACCAGAGGCAAAGACGCTGCCGCTGGGGCTGCCGAGTGCCATCGCCCAGACCTTGTCCTCGTGCGCATCAAAGGTGTTGATGCACTCTGCACGCACGGGCACAGTCAAGTTTAGGCCAAACCGCACACGAAGTTCTACAAGAGGCGTACACCCTGCCAGTCGGTACAAGAAGGGCCAGGCCCTGCTTGGCCAGTCGGCACATCTTGTGCACAGGAACTGGCATCCGTGCATCGCAGCTTGCGCAGCAGCGCCTTGCCAGACAGGCGCACGCTCCACAGCTTGATCAGGCCGTCGGCTCCTGCTGACAGCATCTGGGTCCCCGCCGATAAGAAGTCCACGCGCAGCACAGAGGCCAGGTGGCCTTCAAAGGCACGCAGACAGGTGCCATCCGCAAGACTCCACAACCGCGCGGTCTTGTCGCCTGCAATGCATGTCCAACATGGCACTGATATTGGAGGGGCACAAAGGTGTGGCCCAACAACCAGGCAATTGTCAAGTGCAAAGCAGCTGCAAAGGCTCCAAACAGTAGGGTTCAAGTACCAGATGAGATGATCATGAGTCATCGTCGTGCTGCGCGCTCACCAGAGGCCGTGGCAACAGCTTGATCCACTGGGGAAAATGCAACCGACCATATGCCACGCCTGTGGCCTTTCAAGGTCAGCGACAGCACGAGATTGGGCAGCTTCCAGACCTTTGCAGTGCGATCCTGACTGCCTGTGCATATCACTGCAACAGACACAAAGTGGCAGGCGAGTTGATAATACAAGCATTGGTTTAAACAGCAGCAGAGGCTCCATTGCACCTGAGTTGTTGGGTGCTACTGCCACGGCATTGATGTCCTTGTCGTGCGCAGCCACTGCAGCAGTGACACGCAGCTGGGCGGGCGCCTCTGCATCCAGCGCTACGCTACTTGTGTCCCAAACCTGGATAGGTAATGGGAGTGAGGTTGTGAGACAGCAGAGCACGCGACAAGCAAAGCAGTAGGGCTGCATCACCATGCTCCAGCGCCCATCAAGCCGAAGCGCGTGGTCACCTTCAGCAGTTTGTCGGTGCCACCTGTCGCTACGAAGCCACCGCCACGCCGAGCAAATGCCACGCAACTGACTGCAGACACATGGCCTGCGCCCACACCAATGCAGCGTGCTGCCGGCAGGCTCCAGAGGCGTACGGTAGCATCCTTCCCTGCGGAGGCTAGCATGGCCGCAGCACTGGATAGCTGCAACACATCCAATGCTAGCACCGTGCTGGTGTGCCCACTCATTGTCGCAGTGCAGTGCATGGTGGACGAATCAAAAATCCGAATCTGGTCGCTGTTGGTCGCCACCGCCAGGTGGCTGGGCAGGGCAGGCCTTGCTGCATGCTGCTGGTCAGGCTTGCCGCCGGCATCTTCACTGCTGCGGGTTGTCGCTGTGCTGCTGCCGGTGCCGAGGCTGACGAACCGCATGTCGGTGATTTCATCATTGTTGCCGATGAGCTGGTGAGCGACCGCCAGGTTGTCACCAGCTGGCCGGTTGAAGAGCAGGCGGCCGTCTTGTGTGGCGGTCAGCAGCCCACCAGCACTGGCAAGCAAGGCCAGCTCCACAATACCGCCAGCCGCGCTGGAGGCAGCCGCTGCGCTGGATGGCTGCTCGTACACGCACTTGCCCGTGTCGGAGCGCCACAGCTTGACAACACCCTTCTCGCCGCCCGTCGCAAAGGCCACTAGCTGACTTTTTGCTGCCTTGCCGCCCGCTTCTCCTGGTTGATTGGGCACCCCAGGGAAGGCCATGCTGGGTGGCAGATATGCTACACCTGCAGTGCAGGCATTTGTGTAGTAAGCAAGTAAATCAGCACTGCTACAAAACGGTTTACAACCTGGTTTATAGGAAGAAAGGAAGGTAAGAAAACCTCTACAGCAAGCATGAAAGGTGTGCTGGCTATGCCTGGCCCCATGCGGACCCGCATGCCAGCCCCCAAGACTGTACTCACCCTCCACAGCTTCATACACTGGCACAGTCGCCAGCTTGGTGTGGTTGCGCAGGTTCCACACAATCACAATGCTGTCACGGCCGCCGGACAGCAGCGTCCAACCATCAGGCGAGAGGCTGAGCGACGTGACTGCCGAGAAGTGGCCCTTCAGCACTGCAGCCAATAACAAGGTGGAATGAACGGCCTGCCGGAAGACGTTGGTAAGTTTTTGACATCCACCAACCCAAGCATGCATTTGCCTCGGCAGCAGCGGTCGCAATCAATGCAGTCGATGAAAACGAAACACGTAGAAAAGGAGTCAGTTGCCGGCTCCTACCTGCTGCGCACGATTTTGTCACCAAGTCCCACACCCGAATTCCAGCGTCGTCGCTAGCAGTGACCAGCATCAGCTGCTTGGGGTGGAAGAGCACTCGCAGCACCACACCGCTGCACAAAAATGTTGGCATGCAGGCAGGCATGCTGAGAGGGACGAGCAGAGGCTGCAGACATTCTTGGCTCCCTGTGTTGACAAGCTGAGGCGGTCGTCGCTCACCTGTGGCCAGCAAATGAGTGAGTGCAGAATCCGCCGTCCACATCCCACACCCGAACCGTCCTATCGGCGCTGCCAGTGGCCAGCAGAGTGCTGGACGCATCCAGCGCCATGTCTGCAATGGGGGCCGCATGGCCCTTGTAGCTGCGCACCGCCCGTCCGCTCTCCAGCGACCAACAGCGCAGTTGCAGGCTGCGAGATGCGGCAAACAGCAACCGACCGTCAGGGCTGAGCGCCACCGCCGTGACCGGCTCCGAATCCTGCAGCAGGTTTGCGGGGTGGCGTTGCGGTGAGGCGGTGGGCGGCGGGCCGTGGCGGGGCGGCATGCATGTGAGCTTACGCCAGGAAACGTCTTCAAAACGGCGCCCGTGGCAGTTTCCACCTCTTTAACGGCGTCCCCACAAGCTGTGTACAGTAGCATGCCATCGCTAGGCGCAGCCAGCGGTCCCCCGGTATAGAACGCTTCCAAGCGCCGCTGCACCCTGAAGTTCTTCATGTTTGCAGAAGAAGACTAATTGAGAGGAATCCCGAGAGAGAGATCTAGGGCCAAGTACGCCACGCAGTACAACGGCGGCGGCGCGGCGCAATCATGGGCACATGGACCAATATGTTCATGATTCTTGCTTCTGCCACATTGTCGACATCAAGTATGGCACACCAACAACAAACACAGTTGAGGCACCTCCTCGCGCCCGGCCTTCATCGGCGCTTGTTTCTTCTTTCTTCTTTACTGCTGTTGTGCTAACTTAGCCGCATGCCGCACACGCTTCTTGAGCGAGTCCATGTGGCCCTGCATCCATGGGCATGGCCAAACTCACACCCTCCACCAGCAACGCAAATGCCGCAACATATGCAGATTTGCTGCGAGGAGAAAGCATGAACAAGCAGCACCTCAGTCGCTGCAAACCTCCTGAACTTTCGCCGCTCAGGACGAGGCAGGCGGTTCCCAGCTCAACCACCAAGGCGGATGTCAACAGGCACATGTGCAGTGACCAGCAAAATTCCAGCCGTCACCTTGAGAATGGTGCTGTACGACTCGTTGAAGCGTGCCAAGTCCCTTCCCTGCAAATAGGTTACCAAATCAAACGATGTGTTCCCCAACAGTGAGGGGTGCCAACCCCGCCGCCGCCGCCGCCGCCGCCAGCCCGCGCGCTTGCCGCCTCACCTCGACCACCGTGCTCAGCTTCTTGCGGCCGTCGGTGGCCCGCACCAGGCAGTGGCAGGCGAGCCCGGAGTAGTCCTTCTTGCTCCTGCGCGGCTTCAGGTTGGCTGCAAGAAACAGGCGACATCCATCAGAGTTCAAGATTGAACGAAAGTCTACGGGAGGCTGCACCAGGGTGAAAACCCACTTCGTTTCATCGTCACCCACACCGAGCCCAACTCCCGGTTGGCCTGGTACATACGCAGCAACTCATTCAGGAATTTGGAGTTGTCCTGCAGCATGCTTAACAGGAAGCCCTAGCAGCTGATTCATGGAAGGCTCGGAGAGCGATGGGGACGCCAGCCGGGCGCGGTACGTCAACCGTACGGTTTGAATGCGCAAAAAGTTGTGATGCTGGGGGAGTGTCACATTGTGCTCGGGCTTGCCACATTGTGTTGCCACATTGTGTTGAGTGCTGCAACAGGCGGCACCGCCTCAAAATTCCGCAAACACCGCCTCGGCCTCGGCCACCTCCTCTGGCGTCTCCTTGGGCTGTGCCCGCTGCTTTCGCTCGCTCTCCTGCACCACGCACGGACTCCCCATGACATTTAGCAGCGGCATTCGAAACAAGGCAGCGAGCACGCAATGCGTCCGCAGGCAGCACCAGCAGCGCACCGCCAGCTCCCTGATGCGCTTGGCGGCATCGTCGCGTGGCTTGCGCGGCGCCGGCACCTTGCGCGCCGACAGCGCCTCCCAGTCAAACCCCTCAAACCAACGGTGCTGCTTTACGTCCCTGGCCTTGCCCTGCATTGGCAGGGCAAAGCCGGCTGCCTCTGCCAAAAGGCTGCAGGACATACAGGGCTGCACAACAGCACCCGCGCACCTGCAACATGCCCAGGCGCTTGGTGGGCTTGCGCTCCAGCAAGCGCAACACAAAATCCTTGGCCGCAGGGGAAATGTACGGCGGGAACTTGATGACAAAGCTTTCGTCCACGATGCGTCGCATGACAACCATGGGGTCGTCCGTCTTGGGGGAGCTAAAGGGCTGCCGACCCGTGAGCAGCACATACGTGAGCACGCCCAGGCCCCACCTGCAGTCGGGCAAATCATGAGCAGGTTTAGCAGCACCAACTGCTAGCGGGGCAGGCAATGTTGCTGAGCACCAGCATGTGGGCAACGCACGCAGCGCAATCTGCCATCTGCACCGCGGGCTGCCATCCCCACTCCACACAGAAACCCCTGCCCACCAGTCAACCGAGTGGTTGTACCCGTGCGCCAGCACGTTCTCTGGTGCCACATAACCAGGCGTGCCGCAGAATGTGTAGGTGCGCCGCGCACCGCTGTCCAGAACCTGTAGCAAACCGAGGTGTTCAGTGAGGTAATCTCTTGATAGGAGAAAATGCAAGTCGAGGCAGTTCCAAATACCAGACCTTTGCAAAGCCGAAATCCCCCAGTTTCACATATCCAGAGTTGTCGATAAACACATTCTCCGGCTTCAAGTCACGATACACTGCGGGGTTTGGCAAAGCTTCGATTCGACAAAAGGTCAGCCTCTGGGTGGCAGGTAGGAACACAAGCAACACTCACCAATGTTGTGATCGTGCAAATACTCGAGCGCCAGCACTATCGATCCCACGTAGAAGCGAGCCAGCGCCTCATCCAGGCCCTTGAGCACCTTGACCTGCAGACGCGTCACAAACTAACACTTGCAAGAATGCTTGCACAGCATGGTTTGACTGGGTTTGAGGAATCCCAGTGCGGAGCTTCAATTGATGCAACGCACACCGCTTCCTGCCCTCCACCGTTGCCCACCTGCGGCGCAAAACAACCTCGTTTGAGGGCACCCTGTGCGACCCTCATTTTTATGACCTGCGCCTCTGATACCAGCACATCCATCAGGTCGCCGCCGATCATCAAGTCGAACAAGAAGTAAAGGTGGTACTTGTCCTGCATAGGTGTGCAATGACCACGACGCACGTGTAGCCAACGACTTGGGCACACATACCACGTGCTGCACGCTAGCAATGAAAAAGGTTGCCCCACTGCTCCCTCCCGGGCCTTTGGGTTGCAGTAGCACTCCCTAATGCCGTGCTGCACGTACCTGGAATGAGGCATACTGCCGAATGCAGAAGGGGTGCGTCAGGTTGCGGGTGATCGTCTGTTCACAGAACACATGCTCTGGGCACTGTGCCACTGCGCTCTTCCGCATGCGCTTCAGGGCATAGGTGCGCCCCATCGTCTGCTCTGAAACTACACTGACGCGGCTGAATGCGCCGCCCCCTAGCACGTTGCCCTCGGTCAACACTAGCTGCACACTAGAGCCGCTGGCCCCTGCGCTGCTGCTCTGTCCATCAGCACTGCCAGCTGTAGCTGTGCTGCCTGTGGCCCCATTGCCTTGGCCGCTGCGCAGCTCCAGCACCTCATCTAGGTGGCCTCGTGCCCGAATGACCTCCCACACATCGGTTCCCTTGCTCTTGCTGCGGCGCCGCCGCCGCACCATCACTTCTGCGGGGACCCGCGATGGCCCACCCCGCGACTGCAGCTTCATCAACCGCTGCGTAACTACTGCTGGCGACTTTTCTCGGGACATCAACTGCTGCAGCGGCCCCAGTACTGCTGTGAAAGTGGCCCTGCCTAGCGTCAAACACACAAGCGCCGAGACCGCCTCCACGCTTGCCCCCCTGCACAAACGCACCGACACGTCAGCGCAGCAGAGGACAAGTGCTCTTTGCATGTGCTGTTCAGACCATGCATAACTGCCAAAGCAAGGTTCCCCATCCACCTGGGCTCATCGGACAGCAACGCCCCCTCGCCGAAAAAGTCAGCTTTGAATAGCTGGTTGACACGCTTGCTGCTGCCACTGCCGCTGTCCTGATACACCACCGCCTCGCCCTCCTTGATGATGTAGAATAAATCACCAGGGTCGCCCTGCAAGAAAGGAAATGACACTCAAACTCAGCAAAAGGCAGCAAAAATCTGCACACTTCCCTTATCATCGCCCGCAATAAGCGTTCCCACCTGCCGCACAACTGTCTGCCCTGCAGTGAACCGCTGCTCCTCAAAGGCATCGAGCAGAGTGAGCTTCTCATCTCGTGAAAGCGGTGCCAAGATGGGCACTGCATGGGCACAGCAGCGGGCCTGAGAGAGCGAACTCTAGGGCCTGGCACCAGGCACCACCATCACATGATCTACAATCCAGCAGCCGCTCGGCCCATCCAACTGCCATCCTCTCTCGCATCCAAGTGCTGCCATATGGCGCACCCGAGTTCAGGAACAGCTCCAGCTGCGCCGACTCGCTCTCCTGTACCTCACGAACGTACTGACGGAAGATATCCCGCTCCAGCACCCACACCACCGAATCCTGGATGGCCGCCACCGTGGCGGAGCGCGGGCAGTTGAACATGAGCGCCACCTCCCCAAACGTGTCGCCTCGGCGCTTCATGTTGACCCGGATGTTGACGCCCTTGCGCCGCTGCAGCACCTCAAACTCGCCCATCTTCACCACATACAGCTCGCTGGCACCCAGCCCTGCTCAAAGGCAACAGGCACAGTGAGGAACAGCAATCAGCAACATGCACAGAGAAGGAAGCAGCAGTGGGTGGGCGGTGGTGGGCAACAACACAAGGCCACACAACCTGTGTCGCCCTCCTGGATCAAAATCTCCCCTGCCGCAATGGGCCGCTCGTACATTTCCCGCACCACTTTCCGCTGTGCACCGCGGTCCATTTTGTCAAACAGCAGAACTTTGGTCAAGCACTCCTGCGGGTGGAGGCGGGCAGGGTTTCAACGTGAGCTGGCAGATGGAGAAGCTGCTTTCGAATCCCCAGGCTGCAATTGCTCCACCTCAATGAAGGGCCAGTCCTCGGGAGTGCTCCGTGCGGCGTTGTGCGGCAGCGTCCGCTGCCGACGCTTCCCCTCCGTCACCGCCTGCTGGCGCCCCACATTGCGGCCGCCCTCGAGGCCCTCGCCCGACAGCGAGTTGCCCATTGCCGTGGCAGGCGAGGCAGCTGCCTGGGTTCCCCAGACTAGAAGGGAGACCGGCGTGCCCAGGAGCGTGATCCTATATCCTATTGGAGTGGCTTCAAACGCGTGTGCTTATTGTAACTCAATAATCAAATCTGGAAGGGCGGCGTACTTCTTCCTGCAACGGCCTTGAGCATAAGCCAGTACTGCCTCAAGCCTGGCCAGACGCCCCTTTTTCTGTTGAGCCCCTTGCTTCGCGCTGATCTACCTGCTCCCTACGCCTGCCTGTTGGAGGCAGCCACATGGCGACTGCAGGTCCCAAACAGAGCTCCATTCCGTTCAGCACACACGTGCGTAGCAGCAGACATGCAGCTAAGAGGGCCTGCCGCGTGCCGCCACTGCGGCCGAGTCCCGCCGCCGCCCGCCTTCCAGCTGTCCCAACTCTGCCGTATGCGTGCAGGCCCGCGGCGTGCCGCTCTTTGACAAGAGCCGATTCTTCGACCTGCCGCGGCATGTTGCCCGCATGCTGCTGGACTTCCGCGACATCAGCTCCGCCCTTTTCTGGTTCCTGTCCTGCCAGACCTGGCTCACCCTCTGGTCTTTCCTGATCACGCTCATCTCAGGTGTCGCCCAAAGTTTTGCCAATCAGTTGCCACCAAGGAATTCTCTTCAGTGATACATCCGTTTGCGCGGCTGCAGTGTGCTTCTTCTCATTCTTCGAGAACAACGGAAAGAAGCTGGCAGCGCAGCTGGACTGGGTCCTGATCTGCTCCGTAGCCGTCCTCCCCACGGTGGGCTTCCTGTGGATCGCCTATCTGCGACGGGAGCGTGCGCTGGACGAGCTGGCCAAGGGTGCGCCCGCTGCAGTTTTTTTGCCTGTTGTATCTGTCTGTTGCTGGTCTGTTGCTGAGAATCACTGGCCCACACAGTCTGCTCTGCAGCCAAAGTGCTGATGATGGGCATCTTCGTGGCACACAGGGACTGGGTGGCGGAAGGGGTGCGTCCAACCAACCATATGGCAATTGTGCAGGTGCGTGGATCTTCAATCCTGCTGTGCAATCCCCTGTCCATTCCTTGCGATGTTCACCTCAGATGTGGAAATCATTGCTTAGATGTGGAGGTCATTGCCCCAAGGCTGGTCATTGTTGCACACCTCTCACTTTTTCGCAGGAGGCGCTGGCCATGATTGTGGATGCCATGCATGCTTACTTCCTTCCCGTACGCTTTTACAGCCGGTACTACCCCTACATGGGCTTCCGGAGTGCTATGGTGCACATCGCTTTGGAGCGCACGCGGCAGGTGCGCTGCTTGCGGCTGCGAGCCTGGAGCGACATGCGATGCACATATCTGGCAGTGGCTTGGGTGATCTTGCTTTTAGAGGTTTACAGTCTGTTTCAGCAAGAGCAAGCTTGCCGGGCAGGCTTCGTGGTTCGAATAGAGCAAGCGAAAGGGACCATCGACGAATTCACGTTCAATAGTCATAGCAGCTGCTGATGTGCATCCTTCTCTTCTCGAGTGCAGATGCGTCGCATAAGTTGCAGCATAGACAGCCTAGAGGCTGCAGCGACGGCACTGCATACTGCGCCTATCAGTCCAGCTCTGCTGGCAGAGGCGAGTCGTGCTCCACGAGCACAGTGTGCATCCACCTCTGAGACAACACTCGCGCAGTTACCCTGCATTCACTTAATTGCACCGTGCAGCTCCATCACCGCAACCAGAAGCTGCATTTGAGCATTCAGCGCATGGCAAACATCAAGGAGTTTAGGACGCCGCAGGTGGGCCCCAGTTTTTGCGCCGGGCTGTGCTTCTCTGGCAACATTCGAGATTTCATGCATTCCTTTCTGTCCAGCAGGGTGTTCGAAGCCTTTCCCGGTTTTACCTCATCCTCTTTCTGCCGGTTTTCTTTGGCCCCTATTGGAGCTGGGTCGCAGAGTTGACCAACTTCGGTTTTTCCTTCTTCTTCAGTATCCTGGTACACTACGTGCCCACGCTGCTTCCTTGGTGCCCATGCCTTGTGCCCACCAATCAGCTAAGGACTGCCCTACTGGATTGCCTGCAGCTGCAAATGGCGGTCACTGGCCTAGTCAACGTCACCATTTCGTTAGAAGGTGCATGAGTGAGGTCGCACAGGTCAGAGTTTGGAACACCGTGCAGCTGAATTGCTGTTTTTGGCTGCCGCAGACCCCTTTGACAACAATGGCATGGACGGGGTGTTCATTGACGAGGCACTGTGGGAGGTGCAGCAGCTCGTCGGCGGACCCATGCACCTCGAAGTAGGTGGAGGAAGGAGTGCAGAGCGGTGGCACTCCACAGCAGCAGCACCACTCTCAGGGCAAGAAGGGTTGCCTCCCAGCAAGGATGCCACTGCGCCACCGCCCATGGTTGGCTGATCAATGCTTGGACTAGTTGTTCCCTGCCATGCACATGTCTCATATTTCCGTCTTGATTTTGTAAGACGAGTTGGCATGCACGAAGTTGATGTTGCTGCCTTATGACTCCTCAAACTGCACAAAGGACTGAACGTCACAGCTCCCCCCCTGTTCCGGATCAAAGCTGCCCTTGTAGATGCCGCCAGTGGCGCTGACTACGAGCACCGTTGTGGGGTCTTTGCCAAACCCCACCAGGGCATGGTGAGCGTCAGGCAGCCGCAGCTGGGCAAACGACCGCTCAGAAGCGAAGTACGAGGCGCCCACGGGAAGGTAAGACTGCACTAAGAGGTGGACGGGGATGCAGGCGTTTGTTGGGGTGGCTACTAAACCACAGCCATCACTGCAACCAGTCGAGGCCAACTCATGATGCCAGAACTCTAAGACTGCAGCCCAGCCCTACTCACGCTGACAAACGAGAGTGTTGACACGGGGTTATAACTGCGGCCTGACCCGCTCAGTTTCTCTCTGCTGTCGCCTTGCTGTTGCTGCGTGCTGCTGCTACTGCTGCCACCCCCATTGCTACCGCCTGTCGTGGCGTCCCTGCTGCCGCCTGCCTGCTGCCGCCTGCCAGATAGGCTGAATATGTGCGCGGTGCCCTTGTCACTTGTGACAGCCACCCAGTTGGGCATGTCACCGTGGCTAAAGGCCAGGCTGTAGATTTTTGCCGGATCGGAGCCCCGCCGCAGCTCCCGCAACTTTGCACCATCTCCTGTGGAGAAGATGCGTACCTGCGGTGGGGTTTGGGAGCCACAACGGCTGGTTTTGGGAGGCTTGCTGGCATGCAGCAGAGCCATTGTGAGGGAAGGCAGCTGTAGGGCCCAAGGCAGGCAAGAGGCGCACCAGCGTGCCCTTGTCGCTCGCGGTGGCCAACAGCTTTCCGTTGCTGCTAAGCGCCAGGGCTGCTAGGCAGGAGTTGTGCGCTGTAACAAACTTGGTGCGCCGTGTATCGTACAGCTCCACACGCACCTGGGGCAAGGAGGCTGGTGAGGTTCCTTCACACATTCTCCCCAATCCCCACCTTCCGTGCCCTCGTGCATGCAGATGCTGAAGGCACGGGGCAATGGTGTGGGAGAGCATGCAACAGATTGCAGTTACACCCACCTTGGCGGGGGTGCAGCCCGGGGCACCCCAGCACAGTTGGTTGGGCGTTGGGGGACAGTGCTACCAATCCACGGGGGTTGTTCAGGGTTTTTATTGGGTGCAGCAGCCGCAGTTTTGAAAAGTTGTACCCCAGGCAGGAGGAGAGAGTCGGGAAAGGGATGGGATCCTTGGGCAGTTTCACAGGGACCCCCGCCAATCCCCATCCCCGGGAGGTGTCCAATGAGGGGCCCCCCCAGCTCAGGGCTCTGGTGGTGGGGGTGACTGGTGGTGGGGGGGGGGGGGGGGGGGCAACACTGCCAGTATCCTACGTTGGTTCGGAAGGACAGTTCCCCGATGGGCCGCCCCTGGTGGTCATCGTATATGATTGCTTTTGTCGGTGGGTACTTGGGAACCGCGCCGCCGCCCACCAGGCAAAAGATGTTGCAGCGGAACAGCATCTCCACGATTGCAATGCCCCCATCATCAAAATCGCGCCGAAACTGCACTCCCAGCGGGCAGCAGGTGGCGGGGTTGCTGGGCGGCCCGGTGGCGGCGCACTGAGCGGCACTGAGCGGCACCCTGACCGCGGTTTAAGCCGAAAGCGACCTAGCAGCGCTCTCTTGACAGAAAAGGAGACAGAGGGCTTTGATGGCACACTGTCCGACAGTCAGCCCTTGTCCTTGAGCAGTCTCCGCCTTGCCTGCTCCCGGAAGGGCTCGGTGTTGTAGACAGCGAATCCACGGGAGGTTCCGACAGCGAGACAGGAACAATCCTGATTGAATGCCGGCCTCATCGCAGCGGGTTCAAAACCACTGGTTTTGAATGGATGGAAATAATGTCGGGAGGAAGAGGAAGCATTCAATGCAAGGTGGGAAAGTTGCGCCAGGAAAGCTGCGCCGCCAGGTTTATCCTCCTGATTGCAATCACTCTCGCTCTGCTTCTGTCTGTAAGCACTCTGTACACCACCACACACAGACCTGGATTTGACTTAAACAATGCATCTCGCTCGGGCACCCTCCCTCCTCCAGCCTCTGGCCAGGCGTCCGTGCATAAACAGGCGTCCGTGCATGGCACACGCCGCCTTCAAGGGCAGCGAGAAGCAGGTGGGATGGCCAGCGCCGCCGTGACCAGTGCCGCCGCCGCCGCGCCCGCCGCCGCCAGCGAAAGGCCACACGCCACACTGTACTGTCTTACAGGTTCTCATCTATGGCCATGACAAAACCAGGCCCCAACTCGAGAGCAGCGCGTTTGGCATGACCTCTAGGCGTCCATGTGCTGCACAGCCTCCTAGGGCGGCGGCCTCCAAGGGCAGCGGCGGCGACAAGCAGGTCGGGCACTGCTGCCACCGTCCTCCACCGCCGTGCCCTGTCGACACGTGCGCATTTGGTGCCCACGCATGCAGGACGCGGCACGCCAGGCTTTATCAAGCATTTTTGCGGGCAAGAAAGATCCCTGGGCGGCAGATGAAGAGCGTGCTCGCAAAAAACAAGGCTCGGGTGGCGGCAGTGGCGGGAAAGGCGGCAGCGGCGGGGGACGTGGAGGCAATGGCGGCTTTGGAGGCTTCAATTTTTCGGAATGGGGCGACTCCTTTCGCAAGGGCGCTACCAGCTTCTTCCAGACCGTGGCGACCATCCTGCTGTTTGCCGCCGCGCTCGGCGCCCTCGCGTTGTGGAAGCCCCTGCTGAGCCTGGTGACGACGCTGGTGAGCCTCCCTGACCGGGACAGCCTCCTGCTCTTGTCTTGATTGGCAGGCAGGCCCCTGTGTTGCACCCAAGACAGCAACCATGGGCCTTGACTTGGTGCTTGCAGGTCCGCATGCTGCTGCGACTGGATGGCCCTGCCCCACGGACGCAGCCGCAGGCGACGCCGCAGGTGGACCTGGCAAAGAAAGATGGGCTGGGCGACGTCGAGGCTGCTGTCATCTTCAAGTATGGTGGAGGTGGGGAGGAAGAGGAGGGGGGGGACTCTGACGAGGAATGAGGAGCGCATATCTTGCTGTTGTATGGCGTCGGCTTTAACTTCACAACAGCGGCTTTTGGCACAGAAAACTCGGGCCAGCCATCCTCCGTCTCTCCTGGGTCTCAGTTCGCCGTGAGCAATGCTCCGAGAGAACAGGACATCGCAAGCCACCATTTGTTTCCGTCACAACGGCTCTGGGGCAAATTTCAGCACCGCCTCCAGACCCCACGTCCACAGGCCCCCGGTCCGCCCCTCTACGCGGCCTCCCATCCAGCCCAACCTAGCGGGCGGCGGCGGCCGCCACGTGCCATGGTGCGAGAACCGGAATTTGGAGAGTTGGCTTCCATTGCTCCCTATAAAAAAAGTAAGACAAAAAAATGGATTCAAGAGCGGCTATCACACAAGCAAACGCGCCAATCACCAGTCAAAAACAGTGCCGTCCTGCTGCGCCTGCTGCTTAAGCTCAGTGCCAGCATCCTGCCCAATGGCCCGCGCCTCATCCTCTGCACAAGACATTCATGGCACAGTCAAGCAACCGAGACAATGCATGGATGCAGGCTAAGAGAAGACGTGGGTGCATGCAACCGCCACTGACCCGTCAGCGACCCGGTGCGGGTCGTCTCATACATCTTCTTGCCATCGGGGGTTGAAACCAGGCCGCGGAAGGCCAGCTGGCCATCAGCCTTCTGCAGCCGACACATGGGCACCAGCACTGATCAGGCTGCGGCATGTCAATGATGCCCGAGGCACCAAGAGTAACTGGCAGGGGGGCACGTGTGCTCACAACAGCGGCCCCAAGCCACTCACATGCGCCCAACCAGCAATGGGAGTTCGGCAGGAGCCGTCCAGAGCCGCAAGGAACGCACGCTCGCAAACAATTGCCAGGCGGGTCTCCTCGTGATTCAGGGCAGCGAGCGCAGCCGCTGTAGCATGCGCACGAGGGAGCAGGAGCGGCCACGTCAGGCACGCTAGACTTGACTGGCCTGTCGGCAGCCGCCTGCCAGTTCATCCGCTTCAAGGAGCACCAGCCAAGGCAGCACCAGCCAAGCCCCACCTGAGCGATCGTCACCCTCGCGGCAGGCAATGCCAATGGCGCCCTGGGCAACCGCAGGCAGCATCTCATCTGCAGGGCGCAAGGAGTCAGGTCATGCTGCTGTCAGAGAGAGAGCCGCCTGGAGCCGCTTGATTGCTGCATCAACAGCGACAGTTCCCTCCCACTGGCTTCATGCCTGCCGAGTGCACGCCCACCGGTGGAGAGGATGGAGGTGGCCTTGTCAGCCAGGCCCAGCCGCTTCAGACCCGCCAGTGCCAGCAGCGTGGCATCGCAGGCGCCCTCCTGCAGCTTGCGCAGCCGCGTCTGCACGTTGCCCCGGAAGTTGACCACCTGTAGGGTGGGGTACTTGGCCAGGATCTGGGCCTGGCGGCGCAGGGAGGCGGAGCCCACGACGGCGCCCTCGGGCAGCTCCGCTATGCTCTTGTACTTGGCGGAGATGAAGACATCGCGCACGTCCTCGCGTGGCAGGTTGCACGGCAGCACCGTGCCGGCGGGCAGGTAGGTGGGCACGTCCTGGGGGCAGGGAGGTAGGGGTGGGGAGCTTAGAGATAAGCTGGGTCAACGAGAGGGGCATGCATGATGAAGAGAGGGCAAGGCCTGGGCCACTGGGAGATTCCCGACGGCACACGCACCTTCATGGAGTGAACGGCAATGTCGATGCGGCCGTCCAGCAGGGCATCGTCGATTTCCTTGGTGAACAGGCCCTTGCCGCCAATGTCGGACAGCGGCTGGTTGAGGATCTTGTCGCCGGTGGTCTTGATGATGATGATCTCCAGCGCGCCCTCCTCGTTCAGCTCGGGGAAGGTGGACTGCAGCGATGGAAGGAAGTGGATGGGTAGGCAGGTGTGCCCTGCGGGCAGCAGTGGCTGTGCCTGCGGCTGCTGCATCTCTTTCCAGATGGAGGCCTTACCTTGAGCAGGTCGCGGGTGAGGTAGGCTTGCGCCAGGGCGAGGGGCGACCCGCGGGTGCCAATCTTCAGGGTCTTAGTCGCGACGGCGCTGGCGACGATGGCAGTGCCCCTGCAAGGACAGACGTGCGAATACTGGGCTCAGAGCCTGGGTGTAGTACCAGGCACGATGATTGCCCCAGCGCTGGACAGAGACCTACCGCCGTGCGCCGTGTCTGCGAGGGGCGGCGGAGGCAGCACGGCCGCCACCACCGCTGCTGCTGCTGGCCCTGCACACGCAGTTGCAAGGGTGGGTGAGCACATTTGAGCAAGTAACGCCCTGCCTGGCAGCAACACCCAACATCATCAGCTACACAGGATGCGGGGGGGGGGGGGGGGAAAGCTTGCTTGCTTCCCAAAAAAGTCCCCACCAGTCGCTCGAGCTGGACTAACCTGAGTCCCTCAAAGCTCCTGAGCTGGGCGGGGGCCCCAATCCCCTGGATCCTTGCCCCTTGGGGGGGCCGGGGTGCAAAAAGGAACTTGCAGGGAAAAAAATAATAA